GCCCATTCTCGACTCCTCCGACGTGCTTTCAAGGTGGGGTTCAGTCCGAAGATGAAGATACGTTTGTGGAAGGCGTTGGTTCGTTCAGTTGGCCTGTATGCGTTGGAAGTTGCGGTGATGTCCAAGCGCGAGCTCCTCCGCGTGGAATCCTGGCAAGTTCGGAAGCTCCGAGGGCTTCTCCACTCCCCTGCCCACATCAACAAGCTCACCAACCGCGAGATCAGGAGGAGGGCCCGTGTCCCGACAGTGGAGAGCACACTTCAGCATCGACGACTCAAATGGTGGCGACGAGTCCTATGGCCAGTCTTCCGTGGGCCCACACCCGACCTCTACGACGCCACGCTGGCGGTCCGCGCTGTCATCTTCGGCCGCTTTTCTTTCGAGCCTCCTGGCCCGCGTGAGCCCCACGGCCTCCTTGCCGTGCTGAAGGGCGACTTGCGCCAGCTCTGGAACACTGTGGAGGCACACGAGCAGCTGGAGGCCCGCCGCCTCTTCCTTCTTCACGGTGACCTACCTGACCTTGCTGAGCCCTGGCTTCGCTGGCTCGCCTCCTGCGAGCAGCGCTGCTTTCGTCGCGCCCTCACCTTTGGCGAGGTCGCAGTTGGCGAACCTGTTGCAGTTGTTTGGATCCAGTGCGACGTGCGCGGACAAAATTGCAACGGAGAGAAGGGCCTCGCCAACCACAAACATGCTGCACACAACACCTATGCGAATCCCACGGCCAACTTTCTCTCGGATGTCGATCTACAACAGAAGCGTTGCCCACACTGTGCGAAACAATTCACACGAAAGGACACGTTGATTCGCCATGTCAAACTTGGCCGTTGCCCCGTCCTCGCTGGCGTTCAGGCTCAAGCAGATTCACAACTTGGGCTTGCAGCATCTCCACCTGTCCCTGCCAGTTATGTTCCAGCCGATCGCGGAGGTGCAGGTGGCAGCCAGCCAGAAGCGCGCGGCGGCCCCGAACCCAGAGGACAAGGGCGAGGGCAACGACATCGTGGGCCCGCTGGCCAAGGCGCTCGCCAGGCTCGCCCTCCAGCACGAGGACCTCGCTCGAGCAGGTCACCGAGACGACAACCTCGCGATGGTTCTCAAGACGCAGTGCGCTTTGGCGAACGCGCTGGAGCAGGCCATCGCGACGTACGAGGACGAGGGTCGCAAGGCCAAGGAGAAGGCGAGCGAGCAGGGCAGCCAGTTCATGGGCAACCCGCTGGGCAAGCGGCCCGACGCGCTGGCCCGCGCCGTGATCTTCCGCATCATGGAGGCGGTGCTCCTCAAGAGGCAGCAGGTGACGGAGGCCGCGTCGCAGGGGGCCGAACCCGAGGCAGCGCAGGCAGCGCTGGAGGTATTGCTGCAGATGGGCAAGCTGGCACAGAACACCGAGACGAAGTTCGTGGCCACCCGCTGCTTTCGGATCCAGACCAGCCGCAACGAGTGCGACAACAACGAGGAGGGCGAGACCAGGTGGATCTTCGCGGTGAATCACTACCCAGGGTTCAAGGCAGCGCTCAACACGCTGCGGACCAACGGTGCCTTGGCCGCCGCGGGTATCACCCTCCAGTACGACATCGCGACCAGGTCCAAGGCAGCCAAGCTGGTAGAGACTCTGGCGTTCCGCTCGGGCAGCGGATCTGCCAGCGGCGGCAAGAAGAAGCAGAAACGCAAGTGAGAGCAGCAGCAGCCAGGCCAGTCGAGGCTCGGGAACCCTGCCTTGCTCTCTCTCCTCGTCCTCCTCCGACGACGGCGACGTCTCGTCCCCTCTCTCGCCCCTCGGCTGGTCAGAGGACTCTCACGAGCTCTTTCAGGTTGCAGCCCAGGGATCCCGCTCAGTAAACTTCCTTCGAGTCTGGATTCCTGTGGCCAGTTTTTGGGGCCTCGCTTTTGTGGGGGTGCGCCTCTCTCCACCAGAGGGAGGGGGGAGCCGCCTTCACTGTGCCTCCCCTGCAGAGGCAGGGGGGCGTGAGGCGCGGGGCAACGGCTCAGCGGCCGCCGCCCACGCGTTTCCGTCGGTTTTGTGTCTCAGGGCTCCCCCGATCTTATCGGTAGCGCCGCGTTTCTAGCGGTAGGTTTCTTCTAGAATGCCCTCGCAAAACTTCCTTGGGAATGGGAGTAGCGTTTGAAGGAAGGGCGGCGGAGGGTGGCGGAAAACAAAAAAAAACATGCGTCCCCACGAAATGAAAACGCTTTTTGGGTTCACGGTTTCCGAAATTCGCCACGCAATGGTTGACGCCTCGACTCTTCTCCAGCTCTCAGGCTTCGTGCGGATTTTCTGCCAGGAACGAAGACTAACACAAATATACGTGAAGTTCACTTCGTTTTTCGCTCGCCTTTTGGGGGTTTTGCGCCGGCAGAAATCCACGCACTACTCCGCTACAGCACGTCTGCAGGGTCGGTGCAGTGACAGTTTCCCTGGGAGGCAGTCTTCCCCTCCCCGGGTCGTGTTCTGGACGTGCCTGACGCCCGCTGCTGCGGGCTTTCGTTGGACCACGTTCGTTGCGGGGCGTCGTGCGTCGATTGTCGGAGCACATCTCGGGTGATCAATCCGAAAGCGGCTCCCTAAAAGAGAGAACGTCGGGGATGGACAGAACCCCCAACAGTGACACGTCGATTAGTGAATTGTCCGTTTTCGGTTCTCGAGAGGGCGCCGCGGCCGTTATTTTCCAGGCTTGCGCCCGCCAGGTTTGGGCCTCAGGTCGTTTTCACTCAACCACGTTTTACTAAAGGGAGGTCTGTCCATCCCCGAAAACGGCATAAACATAAACGGTTTATGATCCGCGCCGATTTGTTGTATCTGCGTTGGGCCCCCTTGGCGGCGCCTCTGGCGCCGCCCCTGGCACGCTCCGCGCGCTGGGGAGGGGGGCTCGGCGCAGATCCAAGAAATCCGCGCGGAGCGTTTGAAGTCTGTCTTCATGCCGTTTTTCTCTTCTCCTACTACCCCCCATGCCTCTCCGACGCCTCGACTTCTCCGGAGTTTCTCGAAACTGTAAGCCGGAGACGTTTCTGAAATTTCTGCCGGGGAGCTACTTTCGGGTTCAAGGGCAGTCAGAATAGCTTTTTGGATGGAGACTTGGTCCCCAGGGAAGGATCGAGGGTTCAGGCCAGCGCTTTGAACAGAAGTATGACATTCGCGGTCTCGGTCTGCAAGCGTACTCTGCATGGGAACCTGGACCCAAAGAACGATCGAGGGATTGAGGGCCCGCGTGTTGAACAGAAACGATGACACTCGCGGTCTCGGTCGTTTGGGGCTGGCCTCGAAGCTCTCGACCTTTCCCCTGTTGGCAGGACTTCCGTCCGTCCCGTCGTTTTGGGATTGTCCATCAGAGACGGGTGGCGAACAAGTTCTAGTGCGATTCTTTCAAGCTCTCCGCAGGTCTCAGGTATCCTTGAAATGCTTCAGAGGCGGCAGAAATCTCGAAGAAATCTCAGCCTCGATCCTCAGTCGCCGTGGCCGTCGTCGCTACCGTCGCCGCCATCGCGATCGCCGTCGGTGTCGCCGTGATCGTTGCCGTCTCCCTGACCTGCGTCCTGACCAGATTCTGAAGCCGAGTCCAGCCGTTTTGACGGCGGCGCCCCAGGAGGGTCAAAAGGTGCCAAGAGCACTTCAACATTGTCGCCGCCGCCGTCGCCGTCGTCGCCGCCGCCCGATGTTCTAGGAGGCCCGAAAGCATGCCAGACGTCCATCCCCGATCCCCGAGGTGGTCGTTTTCTTATTTAATCGCTTCGCTCGTTCCGCCGGCCCTGGAGCCCTCTTTAGGGCCTCTCGGGGGCCTCTTGGGGACTTCTTGGGAGTCTCTTGGGGCTCCTTGGCGGCGTCTTGGGGGCCCCCAGGGCCTCTTGGGGGGCTCTCGGGGGCCTCTTGGGGCAGGGGCGGGGGTAGTCGATTGCGCCCCCCCCCTCGGAGGCCACGATCCTCGTGAGGGGTGTCGAAAAATTGCCCAGTCCGGCATCTCTGACCCCCACCCTCCCGGGGACCTGCTGAGATACTTTTCGCCCGGGGGCTCCTAGGGGCCGCCCCGCGCGCGCGAGCTAGAAATATTGTTTACCTGTCACCGGAGATCTTAGCACGCCCTGGCCCGTTGGGCCGGCGAATTCGTTGTTTTGCCGATCGGCGCAGGCCCTCGCAGCCCCCCCCTCCTCTGAAGTAGATCTTGGCTGTTTTCGGCGCCTGTTTCGAGCAGGTGGAGCCTCCCCTATAGGACGCACTGTTGCAAAGAGTGGTATTAAGCAGAGGTCCGGAGCCAGACCCCCTCTCCCCCCCTTCCGCCCACGGTCGAAACGCCGACTACGAAACCGTTGACATCCTGGCATCCGGCATCCCCGAGTCGTCGACACTCGAGCCGTCGCCGCCGCCGCCGGCGACGGCGCCGGTGACGGCGACGCAGGGCGCCGCCGGCAGCGCCGCCAGCGAAGACGCAGGCGAGGGCGCGGGCGGTGTTGCGGGTGGCGATGCCTCATCAAGCGCGTTCCACTACTCGCAAAGTGCCTACTCGCAAACGTCAGACAAAAAGACATGCCTTCATCGATGTAATGGATCGTAGAGCCCCCCATGGCGGATCCAGGCCACTTGCGAGTAGCTAGTCTGCGGGTAGTGGAGCGCGCTTGTCCTGTGCTGGCGGCGCGGCGGCGATGCCCAGGCGGGTGGCAATGGGGGGTGACCCATCTAGGGGGTGAAGAATCAGACCCAAAGGGATCTTTCGGCCTCCTCCCTGGGCACCAGCTGGCCCCAAAAGGGGCCCTCCAGGGCCCCCTGGAGGGCCCCTCTCTTCCCCCCCCCCGTGCGGGCCCATCCCCACCACCCGCTCGAGCTGCCGAGGGCGGCAGCGCCGCGGCGGCGCCCACCTTGGCATCGCTCGGGCGTGTGCATTTTTCCTTCGGCGAGGACCATCGAGAAGCATCCTTGATCATTTGCCGAAAAACCGCGCACGAAACCGAAAAAAACACAAGGAATGGACGTCCGAGCGATGGCCAGATGGCGGCAGCGCAGCGGCGGCGCCCACCAG